GGGGTGGTTCTTTTTTTTTGCTTCGTTGGAGCAACACGCGCGATCGATCCACGCTATGCAGCCCGGGAGTGAGGAGGGGGGGGCGCTGCGGTGGGTTCGCTATGGCGGCGTGCACTATGCGGCGCTGCAGGTGACCCCCGACGAGGCCCCGATGGAGGTCCACCCTGGACAGCAATTCGTCTTTTTTCTAGACGGCGAATGCGGGGCGGTCGTGGACGACGGCGATGTCGACCTTTACGACCCAAACGATGTAGAGAAAACCTCCCACCCCGCCGCCAGGGCCGGCGTCGAGCTCGCAAACCTCATCTTGAACGGCAATACAGGGTCGTTGAAGGATCCAATCCCCTCCTCCGCGTTGGCAGGGGATAAAAAGGAAAATCCTCAGCGAAATGTGTTCGCCATGCTAGACGAGGAGGAGGATGTGGAGGCGGAAGGGGACGAAAGGAACTTCCTGGCAGCCTACACGCGGGAAAAAGAGCGTCTCGCAGATAACCCCACCAACAAGAAAGAAAAGTTGACAAAGAAGGCGAAATCGGTTCAAAAGGTGAAGAAGGAGCCTACCACCCCCCACAAGCGTAGCCAAAGCGCTTCGGAGGATGCTGATGAATCACAAGTCCAAACAACGCGCAACTCTAAGGACGATCGCAGGTTGTTGGATATTCTACAAGAAGAAACTAATAATGATCTTGATCATGAAGAAGATCTTCCCTTCGTCGATAAGGCTCATCAGGACGGGGAACACGCTAGAAAATCTAAGCAAGTGAGACCTCTGAAAAAAGAACAAACAGAAGCCTCCGCTAATCACTGGAGTGCCTTTGCAGAAGATTTTGGATCCGAGGATGAAGAGGAGGAAGCCGACGAAGAAAATGATCAGGATTTCCAACATAAGCAACAAAAAGATGCTTATTCTCATCGTCGTCAATTAGGGATGTCCAACAACCCATCCCGCGATGCGCTTCGAATGAAAGGGTTTACCCACAACCTTGGGTTGGGCTCCTCTTCGCCCGTCGTGCAGTATCTTCCGCAGGTTCATTACCACTACGAGCTTCTTCGAAGCCAAGCCACCGAGCAGGGTAAGCTATTATCTCTTCACCTCGCGGATGTTGTTCGCCTATTATCCGCCAAACTCGCCGATCTTCACGGCAAAGTGTCCTTTTTAGAGCATCAACTTCGCTGTGCAGAAGAAACCCATTCCGATCCCACCGACGACCCCGACTTGGCGGGGCTTCGTCAGGCGATTCGCGCCATGCAAAGGGACTTTGACGTCGAGTCCTTCCTCCGCGCGGTGGTGAAGCCGCAGGAAAAGGCGCTTTCCTCCGCGGAAGGGCGTCCGCGCTGGAAAGCGCCCTCCTCCCCGCGCGGCGTGGGGTTTTTTCAAGACCCTTCCATCGCGTTGATGGTGGAGGGCTTCGCCAGTACGGCGAGGCCGCGGGAGATGACCTTGGAGATCGCGACGAAGTACTGCGAGCAGCGGCTTCGCCGGGATCGAATCTTAAGCAACGCGCAGGGGCTTGGAAAGCGGGGGCTTTTTTCGAACCCCGGCGGGGGACAATACATGGCGAATTGGCATCGCGAGCATGAGCTGATGGTCCTCGCCGCCGCCGAGGTCGAGAATCAGCCGGTGAAGCCGACCGGCTACGTCGCGCGGCGCTACGCGGAGGCGATGTCGACGGTCAAAAAACACGCCTTTAAGAGGCTTTTAACCGACCAAGGCGATCCTCGCGGGGGGCTCCACGACGGGGGCGGGGTCGCCCCTTCGTTATTTCTCACCGACGGGGGATATTCCACCCAGGCGGAGCTCCTCGCGGCCTTCACCCACCCCACCCGCCCTGGCCCACAAGGGATCCCCGTCTATTACGACTTCCACGACCTGCGAAGTCAAAACCCGCGAGGCGGCGGCGGCGGGGGGGGGGAAGGAGGGGGCGGGGAAGGCCTCCGCGCGCAGATCCCGATCATCTCCCCGCTCGACCTCGGCTTCGACCACCGCGGGGTTTTTGGCGGGCCCGAGGAGGCCTTCGGGCGGCCCTCGAAAAGCCGCGAGCCGAGCCCCAGCCTGGCCTTGCCCTCCCAGGCCAGCGAGGGGCTGTTCAGCGAGCGCCGGGCGGGGCTCTCCGCCCGCGCCCTCTCCGTCCGCGCCGGCGAAAAGCGGCGAAAGGACGACGCCGAGGGTGAGGCCGGCGTGGACTGGCGGGCCGCCGCGAAGCGCGCGATTCAGGAGC